TATACAGCGTTCTCTCTCTCTCTCTTTTAAAGCTATTTTACTGATTTTCAGCATTCAGGTGGCAGCAAATTACATGAACATGTACTCTTCATGCAACGTACCAAAGAACTATGACGTTTCCAAATTCAAAAATAAAAAAAAAATAAGAATAATAATTGAATTTCTCATTGATAACATGCCCAAACAAGGTACATGTAACTTAAGGGGCATTGAATGTAGGGGGAGTAAATACTCAGGTATACCGTGACCATGGAGACAGTATACATCCAGCTAGCAAGTGTCAATTAAAAAAAACACTGCAATAGCTCTTAGCACCCGTAATATCTTCAAAACAGGTGGATGATTACCGACACGTGATGACCTTGGCCTCACTTTGAAACTATAAATATGAAAGTGTTAAAATTAAATAATTATGACAATTACAAAGTTCAAATACAGGTACCTATGTAATGAAAAATTATATGTATGTTTTCGTATTAAGGTGTCTTTGCAAGTTCAATTTACTTATGTTGGAATTACTCATGCACAAGTACAAAACGTACCCATCTAGAATTTTTTTTTTATATCCATATAAAGTATTTCAAAAAATGCATGTAGTACATCTAAGAGGTTCGTGAACATGTAAACCTGTATATATAATACATATCGACGCAAAGGAAAGTTATAAGCATTTTTGCGTATTTTTTTTTTTTGGGGGGTTTCTGTTTTTGTTTTTTGTTTATTTTTTTTTAGACTGACTTGCAAGTAGTTACAAAAATTCAAAAACATACAATGTAAGGTCTACATGTAGGATAATTAGAATTGACAAAATAATCTTTCCCAATATACATGTACTTAAACCAAGCTATTTATTAAATTTTGGTAAAAGATTAATTAAAAAAAATATCATAGTAGTTAAAAAAATGAGATTTTATTCTCCAATTTACGTATTGACATAATGCACATTTATACTGTACAATGTACATTTAATTTTTTTTCATGATCAATTATAAAGATCGATAATTTCGATGTTATCTGGATAAATTATAACGTGCATGTAAATTGAAATAATAAATAAAAAATAATTAGATTAAAACACGTACATGTTCTTATATTGTATTTTGAGATAATAAAATTCTATAATTTATCAAAAACCAGTTTTTTCAATTTTTATTTTTAGAAACAACTGTTATAACCATTATTATCTTCTTCTTTTGTATTATGAATTAAAGTACTTATTGTCTGATAAATTTACGCACTGTATATTTATATATTAATAGATTTTAAAAATAAAAATAAAATAAATATGTAACTACACATGTAACATGCTACCTGGATGATAAAATATATAATGTATTAACAGATTTTAAAAATAAAAAAAAATGAAAATAGATGTGTAAATATTGCATGTTGTCTTGAGAAGTAAAATATATAAATATAAAATCATGTTTAAAAATCATTTTAATAATATTTTTGCACTGTACATTCACACGCTTTGCTTGTACAATGTTTAGATTACAAACTGGCCTGTTGACTGGTTGATGCGCTGATGGTCAACGCATTTTATTACTTATCCTGATTGACAGACCTGTTCGGCATGTTGATTGGTCGACGCGCCGATGAGTTAATCGCTAATCCTGATTGACAGCTCTGTTACGCAACACCGAACGTGCGTTCGCTTTCTGGGACTGCTACTGAATTTGGGGTTCGCTTTCAGCGTTCGCTCTGGGTTCGCTGCGGGTTCGCTGCGGGTGCACTCCGGGTTCGCTCGGGGTCACCCCGAGCGAACCCAGAGAGCGAACCCGGGGTGCGCTCTGGGTTTGCTTTCTGTTAGGTTGTGTCTGGTCGGTACTGTACTAGATTAATTATTTTGTTGATCCTGATCACCCCATTTTTCTTGCTTTTGGGCAACAAAGCTTCACCTTTCAGTTCATTTTAAACTTTATGGATCATCTAAATTGTTATATTATACTCAGGTGACTGTTTAGGCCCTTGGGCCTCTTGTTAGCTCACCTGAGCCGAAGGCTCAAGTGAGCTTTTCTGATCACATTTTGTCTGTAGTCCGTCTGTCTGTAAACTTTTCACATTTTCGACTTCTTCTCAAGAACCACTGGGCCAATTTCAACCAAACTTGCCACAAAGTATCCTTGGGTGAAGGGGATTCAAGTTTGATCAAATGAAGGGCCATGCCCTCTTTCAAGGGGAGATAATAAAGAATTAGTGAAAAATTAATAGCATCTTTTAAAAATCTTTTTCTCAAGAACCACAGAGCCAGGGAAGATGAAACTCATGTGGAAGCTTCCTCAGGTAGTGTAGATTCAAATTTGTTCAAATCATGACCCCCGGGGGTAGGGCGGGGCCACAATGGAGGATAAAAGTTTTACATAGAAATATATAGGAAAAATCTTTAAAAATCTTCTTCTCAAGAACAGCAAAGCCATGATGAGTCATATTTATACGGAAGAATCCTCAGGTAGTGTAGAATCAAGTTTGTTCAAATCATGTCCCCTGGGGGTAGGGCGGGGCCGCAATGGAGGATCAAAGTTTTACATAGAAATATATAGGAAAAATCTTCTCAAGAACAGCAAAGCCCTAATTGGTCATATTTATATGAAAGCATCCTCAGGTAGTGTAGATTCAAGTTTGTTCAAATTATGACCCCTGGGGGTAGGGTGGGGCCACAATGGAGGATCAAAGTTTAACAATGAAATATATAGGAAAAATTTTAAAATCTTCTTCTCAGGAACAGCAAAGCCATGATGAGTCATATTAATATGGAAGCATCCTCAGGTAGTGAAAATTCAAGTTTGTTCAAATCATGACCCCTGGGGGTAGGGCGGGGCCACAATGGAGGATCAAAGTTTAACAATGAAATATATAGGAAAAATTTTTAAAATCTTCTTCTCAGGAACAGCAAAGCCCTGATTGATCATATTTACATGTATGTGGAAGTATCCTCAGGTAGTGTCAATTCAAGTTTGTTCAAATCATGACCCCCTGGGGTAGGGTGGGGCCACAATGGAGGATCAAAGTCTTAAATAGAAATATATAGGAAAATATCTTCTATTGAAGAACTGCAAAGCCATGATGAGTCATTTTGATATGGAAGCATCCTCAGGTAGTGTAGATTCAAGTTTGTTAAAATGATGACCCCCGGGGATAGGGATGGGCCACAATGGGGGATAGAAAATTTTACATATGAACATATAGGAAAATTTCTTCTTCTCAAGAACTGAAAATCATGTTTAGTCATTTTGATATGGAAGCATCCTCAGATAGTGTAAATTCAATTTTATTCAAATGATGACCCCCGGGGGTAGGGTGGGGCCCAATGGGGGATCGAAAGTTTTACAAAAGAACATACAGAAAAAATATTTCTTCTCAAGAACAGAAAAGCTATGTTTAGTCATATTGATATGGAAGCATCCTCAGGTAGTGTAGATTCAAGTCTGTTCAAATAATGACCTCTGGGATAGGGAGGAGCCACAATGGGGGATCAAATTTTTACAAAGGAATATATGGGAAAATTTTTTTAAAATCTACTCATGTACAACAAAGCCATTTGTTTTATTGACATGGAAGCATCATCAGGTAGTTTAAAATTGCCCCCCCCCCCCTCCCTTGGTAACCTTTTCAATACTGAACTGATTTGTGCTTTTGCCTAGCCAATGTGCGCAGGTGAGCAATGTGGCCCATGGGCCTCTTGTTGTACAAATCTGATGTCAACTTCCTGTTTATCCATGCATCTGTCCAAAAATGAACTTGTGTATTTACATGAGAGTGGGGGTATTATTAGTGAGCATTGGCTCACAGACTTCTTGTTTTGTTTTTGGGGGGTTGTGGTAAAAAGGGATAACCACCTAACAAAAATGTCTTGATTGAAAAAAAAGTGGAAGAGAAGGGGGGCACATACATTACTTTTGAGGGGGGGGGGGGGGCTCTAGAGGTTAAAAATAACAGAGTATACAATGTATACATATTTTGTAACAAAATTTTAAGATCTCAAAATTGAAAATAATAAGCGACATTTTTTTTGTAAATATTTATATTTGAAATTCAAATCACTGGAAAACTTTGAATTCGTACCCTAGTAAGTTTTTGTATTTGATAACTTTACTGAACATATTTCAGTAGCTATATTTGAAGTAAAGCATATACATTTCAAATTTGATGCAGTTGAACTTCAGTATCTTGAGCAATGATGTCTCAAATACCATGGATGTGTCAAAAGTAATTTTAAAGTTCCGAGTGCTTATTTTTTAAAGTATTTTACCTTCAAGTTGGATATCTTGAATCCTTCGATATCTAGAAGTATTTTCTCAGTCCCATCTAGTTCAATATAACATGGTTTGATTTATTATACCCCTGCTCTGAAGTGGGGTATACTTTTTTACCCTTGTGTGTCTGTCTGTCCATCCTTCTGTCTGTCGGTAAAAAATTTTGGTTGCAGTTTTCTCAGCAACTACTCATTGCAGATGCTTGAAATTTTAGCACACTCTTTGTTTAGGCATGCCATATGGTGGGATTCATTTTTGTAGGAATCTGATGTCAACTTCCTGTTTATCCATGCATCTGTCGGTACCATACATAACAAATTTGGGTGGCAGTTTTCTCAGCAACTACTCATTGCAGATGCTTGAAATTTTAGCACACTCTTTGTATAAGCATGCCATATGTTGGAATTCATTTTTGTAAAGATCCAATGTCCACTTCCTGATTATCACTGTGTCTGTCCATAACTGAACTTGTGTATTCACGGGGGTATTATTAGTGGGCATTGGCTCACAGACTTCTTGTTTATTCTTTAACTCGTTATACAAATATTATGAATTATTGAGGACAGTCCTCAGGATTTGGCTGTAACTGAGTTTTATTGAACAGGCAAAATCATTGAGGGGAACAATACAGCTGTAAATTGCTTTGATTTCTATTGCCTGTGTTTTTATATGCAATGAAAAGAATATTTAATGGAAAATCACATGTAGCTCATACTTAACACATATTTTTCATATTTCTTTCAGTGAAACCAGGAAATGTCTCTCTAAACATTCAAATGAATGGACATATACTTGCAGCTGCAGATCTTCTTCTTTACAAATGCTCAAATTATACAAGGTAAAACTTGTACAGCCATTTGTATAACTTTCACTCTGAAAAATTCTCATTATAATACTTCAAGCAATTTTTAAAAGGTTTTTAACTCACCTGAGCCGAAGGCTCAAGTGAGCTTTTCTGATCACATTTTGTCTGGCGTCTGTCTGTCTGTCTGTAAACTTTTCACATTTTCAACTTCTTCTCAAGAACCACTGGGCCAATTTCAACCAAACTTGCCACAAAGTATCCTTGGGTTAAGGAGATTCAAGTTTGTTCATATGAAGGGTCATGCTCTCTTCCAAGGGGAGATAATCACAAATTAGTGAAAAATTAATAGCATCTTTTAAAAATCTTCTTCTCAAGAACCACTGGGCCAGGAAAGATGAAACTTATGTAGAATCATCCTCGGGTAGTGTAGATTCAAGTTTGTTCAAATCTAGACTCCCGGGGTAGGTGGGGCCACAATGGATGATCGAAGTTTTACATAGGAATTTATTGGAAAATTTTTTTAAAAATCTTCTTCTCAAGAACAACAAAGCCATGATTGGTCATATTGATATGGAAGTATCCTCAGATAGTGTAGATTCAAGTTTGTTCAAATGATGACCCCCCGGGGTAAGGTAGGGTCACAATGGGGGATCAAAGTTTTAAATAGGAGTATAAAGGAAAAAAGCTTGAAAAATCTTCTTCTCAAGAACAGCAAAACCTTGTTAAGTTATATTGATATGGAAGCATTTTTAGATAGTATAGATTTAACTTTGTTCGAATCATGACCCCCAGGGTTAGGGTTGGGCCACAGTGGTTGATCAAAGTTTTACATAGGAATATATAGGAAAAAAAATTTAAAAATCCTCTCAAGTACAGCAAAGCCTTGTTAAGTCATATTGATATGGAAGCATTTTCAGATAGTGTAGATTCAAGTTTGTTCAAATCATGACACCTGGGGGTAGGGTGGGGCCACAATGGGGGAACATAGTTTTACATACGAATATATAGGAACAAACTTGAAAAATCTTTTTCTCAAGAACAGAAAAGCCATGATTAGTCTTATTGCTATGGAAGCATTCTCAGGTAGTGTAGATTCAAATTTGTTCAAATCATGAACCCCAGGGGTAGGGTGGGGCCACAGTGGGGGATCAAAAGTTTTACATAGGAATACAGACCCTGAATTGTGCTACTACCCCACATGCACACTGCATGAATGGTACATGCTTGCTACACGGTTTGCATGAATGAAACGCTTTGCACAAAAGGTTGCATGGTTTACATGAAAGCCTGCACGAAACGCTTTGTACATGTTTCTCACACGCCTTGTGCACGATTCTCACACGCTTTGGCCTCCAGACTTTATTTCAATTACTGTAGATTCCTAAATATACACGAGGAATTAAATATCGCGTAATTACGCGAGAAGAACCACTTGTGAAATAAAATTACTCGCTTTAATTTTTATGGTGCTGAAATCCATGTGAAAACTCTTGATCAATCGACCACCCGCAAATAATACTTCTCGCGATTTTGTCGTCCGAGGGCCATTTTGCGATATTAAGTACTCGCGTAAAATAAGGAATCTACAGTAGTACAGATTAATCAAAGTTATGTTAAGTATTGCAATCATTCAGATTAAGTTAACATTAAAACTCACTACACCAGTACTATATTTAACAGATAACACCAGTACTATATTTAACAGATAAAATACACAATGTTCAGTTGTAATTAATTAAAAGTTGTCATTGAGTATGCGACCCGCCTGGTGAAATGCTTATCATCCTCTGTTTACAAATATTTTTTCCATTAGACTCTAAATTACACACTGAAAAAAGAAATGATATTTGTAATTCATAATCTTTTACAGCATTTAATGTTTTTACAATTATAGTTTGATATTAAAAAGTCTTTTTGTTACTGACAAATTAAACTCAGTTATTGATTTGAAAAAAAAAAAATTGATTAAATTGCGTATGATTTCCGTAAACGGATTGATTTTCTAAAAAGCTCACCTGAGCCGAAGGCTCAAGTGAGCTTTTCTGATCGAAAGAGCTAAAGCCACGAACCATCATATTTGGCCCTGTGTTTTTCACAAAAATAAAGTTTCGATTCAAGAAGAGTACTATACGTTAAATATTAGAGGACAACATTCTTCTTTTCCATACATAACTTATATCGTTATATAATGCGCCATTAAACATGTGCGACGGTTGGAAAATGCGACGGTTTCATAAAAACGTTAAAAAATGCCGTTTTTTCGACAGATTTTCCCAAAGTTAGATGTGGCCACAGTCAAGAACAACTTTTATACTTCCCATAGATATAGATATTACCGATACAAATCTTTATGTTTAATATCGTTGTTGTTCGTGGCTGTGGCCAATATGAAATTTGATTTTATATTTAAATTTTGATGGATCAAATAATCCTTAATTTGTAGATCAATCGTTTACATTCAATTCATGTAATAATAAAAAAATATAAATTTCACAAAATATGCTAGAAAATCAGTAAATTGTTCATTTAAAATGCTAAATGTGAAAAATAGTCAACTACATACATTTTCTGAAATAAATGTCTGGAAAAACTTTGTGGTTTTTACTATGAGTAGGTCATTATGTATGACGTTACTAGTAATACGTCAGTTGTGACGTCATAAAGGCTGTAAATTATTTGGGATGTTGCTGAAAAGTTTTTAACGCTCTAGATAGTGCCCCTACATGTATTTACATGTATATGATTTAATTACATGTAAACCCAACTGGATGATACCATCAAATTGTAAGTTATCAGAAATTCCCGCCACGGTGTCTTTCTTTACTAACCCCCCTCCCTGAAATAATTCAAAATACTGTTGTTGATAGTGTTAACAGGCATGACTTATATTGTAAACAAATTAATAGAGAGTGTAACAAAGATATCACGCTATACCTTTTTAAACAAGCGAAATAATAATGATATGGGTTGCTGTCCAAAGTGAAAATTTAAAAAAAAATGAAATAAAGGAATGAAAAAAATACGCATTAAGATAATCATCTGCATTTCCGCACCGAAATCCACCTTCTTTATGTACATGCAGAAGAATCATCTCAATGGATTTACAAAATTCAGTCGTATCGATGGCTTATACATGCTGATACAAAATAATGTATAGTTATAGTATACAGTTATGTGAGCACCGATATCGGGTTTCGTTAAAACACTTGCACATGACGATCCCGCGCCCGTGATCAAAAACAAAAGAATATATCGGTACATATTTTTAATATGTCTGTATATTTATTAAAATCGAAGTGAGGCTATTGATGCATATATACATATAACATATACCCGATCTTGTCATCCTTTGTGAAACATAATTCAAATATACCCCCAGTGAGCAAAATTGCATTAAATGCATGTCGTATGTCTTAGACATCAGTATAAAATGTTTATGCATTTTTGTACTGTGCTTCAAATATTTCATTGTAACTAACACAATTTATTAAGTATAGTTATGCTTCAGATTGTCAGTCAGTGAAAGGGTAGTGATTATATGTCTATTTAGACAAAACATAAATTAAATAAATAAGTACACTACATATAATTTACCCAAAGTTTTTATCGGTCATAAACTCTTCATTGCGACTTTATTAGTATACGGTTTTATCTAAGAATTCAGCGATGTGAAAACACATGGAGAGAGAGAGAGAGAGAGAGATATGTGTTTTAAAAAACAAATCAATAAAGCGGGAATATGTTCTTTAAAACGTATGGCCGTAAGTTGTTTATAGCTAGATTTTTTTTAAACCCAACGAAGTAGATTTTTTTGGATAATAATTCTTACTCTTTTTTAAAGTCTTTTTTCAGCTTATTCTGGTTAGTACACTTGTACCTCCTCCCTCAGTATAAACTATTAGGATCATGATATGTAGAATGGTAGATCCAAGACTTCCAGCTGAGATTGAAAAAAAAGAGGGGGGGGGGGTGTTACAAACTAATGGCAACAAAATTTTCATCTAATGTAGTTATTTTCATTTTATTCTCTTAAGTTGTCTTGAATTTAACTTTCTTTATTGTTAATTAATAGAAATCAATCTAGATATTGAAAATTGTTAAAGACTTTCCTACTCCTCTTATTTTTTCCTCAATGAGAAGGGGGGGGGGGGGGGGGACTGGTTTGGCGGCGCCTTTTTTCACAAAAAAAAAATCATAAAGAAAATTGAAAAAAATATGTACGGACAACTCTTATTGCTTCTCTGAGTAAAACCTTTTTAAGCAAGCTTTTGTTGATTAAAATCAATTTTGTGCTGATTGTGAGACGATATAACAAGGATAAATGAACACCTGTACATGTATTTCAATTATGGTACTGACCCACATATCAGCAATATCAGTGTAGCTCTACTCTTTTTATAAACCATGAAAACCATAATGTGCAAATGAAATCGAAAGTGCAAAAAAATGGTGGGGGGGGGGGGGGGGGTTCCAGCAAATACTGTTAAATATATAATAATGGACAGTGACGAGTGATTTTTTAACAAATTTATTTTTCTTAAGAATATTTTTTTGAAGTGTACTCTACTGTATTCCATATTACTCCAAAGAAATTTACATTTAGGGCTAGAATGTTTTGATGAGTTCTGTTTACTAATTAAACCATTCTGATAAATTGCGAAATCCCTTTCCAATTAATCTAAAATTTTCCCTGTTTCTGTATCAAAAACAATGTTCAAATAATTGTTACAAATGAATGAATGGATTAGAAACAAGTCCTTCCAACTTTTTCCTTCTTCCTCTTGTCCAAATAATGTAGATCTTTTATACGTTAAAATACTCGCAATATCAGGATCTAAGAATTTTGCATTGAAAGTCTCTTTCAATTTAAACAAAACTTTCTGCAATTAAACTTTTACCTAGTTATAGAATTAGCTCTTCAGTTCAGAAACATTCGTTTCAAGATCATTTCAGGTATGTTGTCAATTATTTTTTTCCCGACTGCCCCCTTCCCAACTTTGAAAAACGATACTACGTGCCTGGACGCACATGCC